CGCGTATAGATTGCCATACGCGTGTCGCATATATATATATATACGTACACGCTGGAAGTACGCGTGACGCGCAACGACACCGCACACCGGCGCGAGTCACACGTGAATCGTCGTTACGGTTAGCTTAGAATAACACGCGCGGTCTCAGTGATAAAAAAGTGTGATGCGATCATGATCCTAAGAGAGATGAAGGATACAGCGATCGCTCGTGATCATCCGACGATGATGGAGGCTATTCTCACCCGCGATCAGAGGACTACGTCTCATAGGGTCCTTGACCGTCGCTCAAAAGGTGGCACGATTTTCTCATCCACCGCGATCATCGCTGACACCGGTATCGGCTCGAGCACCGGCAGTAGCGGCAACGGCACGAGCGGCCAGAGTAGTGGCGGGACGATTGGCGCTTTTAAAAAGATGCACTGTACAAACATCGTCGCTGTCACGAGGAAACGGAGAACTGCACTTGGGAGAAGAGTAGAGTGTGATGATGGGTGCCTGGTGCATTGTAGTTCTAATAAACGGATACGAAGATTTTCCAGCACCACGTGGCTCAGTAAGTTTGTCATGTCATCGATAAGCGATTTCGATAATCGACGAAAATCGATGATCGACTTTTAACTCAGGGAAATGCTATTTTACTGCGAATTGACGTGCATATATATATATGTGTATTGAAGTCCCGTATGCTCGTTTGTCATATCGATTCATTGCGAGCGACTGCAGTTTCTCTTTTACGGACACGATGACACTTTTAGCCGGGGAAAATTGGTTTCCGTGAAACAGTCGATATAAACTGGACTGACTTTTCTTCTATATCGTCCTGGCCGACAGTCGTTAGACTGTAAATTGTTTATCGTCGGAGATAACGATTTTGAATTATTTTCGATTATCCAGATCACTTTTTGTTTTCTATGCTCAATGAAATTTCCTTGATTAGGGTTTTACGATTTATACGATTTTTTTTTATTTGGTCACGAATATCCTCACTGTCGTTCGTTCATATCCAGAAACGTTACTTGAAAATGATCCGTGTGCTTTTCATGATTTACGTTATTCGTTTAAAAGGTAGCTCGGAATCGCGCGAATCTTTTGCTATTTTCTGATTATTGGTCCAGGGTCACGTTATATCGGAATATACGAGTGACCTGTTCGCGTGTAAGTGTACCGATTTCCTAGTGGCCGCTATGGGACACGTAAACGAGGCTCATTACCGAGGGTGCGAGTGACGTTTATAAATGCATTATGCAGCCGTTAACGATGGGTAATTTCTTCGTGATTGTCGAGCACGCGCCACGGCACTGATTTAAAGTGCCCGACGACCAGTAGAAAGATTTCGCGTCGTTGATACCAGAAGCGAGTGACCTTACTGAAATATTCGCAAGTCCGTAGGAGTCGAGTGTACGAATAAATGGCAAAAGAAAAGAATGCAAAAGAAAATAGTCTCGGGAAAAATATAGCTTGCGTAAAAAATCGCACGTGCCATATCGATCCCTTAATTGGTAGCGATATCCCGAAAATTACGTATTACCTATTAGCAGCTCGAGGCGAGACTCTTAATCGGCCAGTAGTCACTCGTAAATCGCCGCCAATTTGAGTTACGACCTGCCAGTGAAATTCCGCATGAAGTTTAAGCGTTTTAGCGATATCCGCCTTCGGGCTGCAACACGACTCCTTTTTTTTTTATTTACGTCGATCTTACCCGTTCCCTCGTATTCGTTTGGTCGGTTCTCCATGGGCTTTTTCGCGATTAGGCTTATTTCGACTCGATTGCCTGTCGGTTATCATTCACTAGAAAAAAAGGCTGGATAATCATAGGGAATAATGACGAGCTAAGACTTATCCGGGTATTACGGGTCGTTTCTATTGACGACTTTCCATAATTTATGTTTCCTATCCTTTCGCCGTCGTTGCCATCGATTTTTTGCACTTTACTATGAAGAAAGTTTCCAAGTGATTCCGATGAGCTGACAGGGACACCCCGAGGGAATCGGGAGTGGATGGAAACTTTTATTTTTTCATGACAATGGGTTGCTATGCGAAATACGAGAACAAGTTAGATATATGTATATGTACCTAAATATCTATTTAATAATATAAATACAGTCCCTCAGGAGTTCTCACGGTCCAGGATTTTCGGGCGAGTGGACGCATTAGTCATGTTCGTAACGGTCCTCGTTATCGCAGCTTGGTCGTCGAGGCACTCAGAGGTGAACGATTCGCGCCTGCTTTTACGTCTCGGATCCAGTGATTTTCTTCTCCTCGACCCAGGGACGAATATTCGTGATATATTGAGGGTCCTGGTGTAGAGACAAAAGTCCTGACTGAATTCAGAAACGTGGGGTTGGTACAGTTAAAGCCCTGGCTCGCGGGGCCACCTGTTGGGCGACGAGCGTGCTACATGCTACAGGTGGCTCATTCAGGATCTCCCGGTTGGCCAGTCAGGCAGCAGCAGCAGCAACAGCAGCAGTAGCAATTCCTATCGTCAGGATAATCTTCGAGAATAGGTATTTACCTGTGAGAGGAGTGTCGGACCTGGAGCTGGAAGATAGAAAAACGTATGCAACAAAGATTAGAATCTATTGGAGTCGAATGACATTGGATAAGATAAGACAGAGGTTTTATGATCGATAAAGAAAAAGTCATAGAATTTTTATTCAGTTTGAAATTCAACGAAACCCTATCAGCATTATCAGCAACGATAACGGCATATCTATAGATCAACACTTGTAAAGTCGTAATCTAACAGCAACGGCAGAAAAGTCCTGAGACAGAATCCAATAGCAGCAACTGATGCGCGTCCTACAATAAATCGGCGAGGCGTGTGTTGTGTGCGCGACCTACCGCAACGCACGGTGGTCCCGTCCGTATAGCGCTGGGATAGCCGAGGGGGGCATAATGGGGTATAATTGTCGCGAGCAATGCGAGGACAGTGCACCATTACTGCATTTTTCCCGTCTTCTTGTCGGTGCGCGAGATGCGCGTTGCCGGGTCGTGCTGAGCTGACCGATGCGCGCGTAACTTTTTTCCCTTGCGCCGCGGGTTCTCAGGAATTTCACTGGAACGCCGCCGCCGTCGTCGGTCGTAGCAGGCGAGAGCCCGGGCCTGGTCGTTGAGGTAGGCCCAACGTTACAGATCAGTCCAGGTCAGGTTCCTCGTGGGGCGAGGGGGCGCGG